CTTTAGAAATAAAGTATTCCTTAATACTATAAATTTTATTATTAGCTACCCCTAGGCGAAATTATTGCCCCTATAAGAGGGGCTTTTTGAAGTAATTATAGTTAATAGCTATTATATTATATTTAATTTACTATTAAATATAAAATATAGTTGTACTTTTTATATTAGTATAGTAAGACTATAGATAGAGGAAAGTATATTAGAATAGAATAATATATAGGATATTCGGACTAATTAAGGGAGGGTAATAAAATATATTAATAACGCCGAAGATATAATTAAATAATCCTTTAAAGAAATTAATACCTGCCGTTTTGAAAATAATAGATAAGAGTATTATATCGTTTGGGGTAAATTATACGTACCGATTTAAGAATTAATTAATAATATAGAGTACTATATTGATATTTTTTATAAATTCTATAATAATAACCCGGAATCCCCTATCCCTCTATAATGAATTATTGTAGAAAGAAGGCGTAAATACGCTACCTAGATTTTAAATAAGGTCTATAACCGTACTAGGCCGGGGTTGCTAATGATAACTCCGGCCGTTAAACGGTCGCTCCGATACGCAATACTAACCGTAAATACCCTTAAAAAGGTTATAAGTATAGTAATAGAGAGCTTTAAATCCCTAGAGGAGGAGGATTAGTAAATTTTCTTCCATATATTCTAGTACTCGAGGGCATTTTGAGCCCGGGGTAATATTATAGGGCTAGTTTATAACTATTATCTAATTATAGTATTACTACGGCTATAATTACCAGTTAATACATGTTTTCTAATTAGTTAATCCGTTCAGCCTTACTATTACTATAGTAGCTATTAGGCTAATACGGGCCCCCTAATTAACTATACACTCCCGGAGGCTCCGGTTATATATACTAAGGATGCGGCTTACCCTCGCCTATATAGAATAAGCCGCTACGTATAAATTCTATAATTTCCCTTCTTCCTTATATAATTATATAAGTTATATTCTACCTTATACGTTTAATATCGCCTTGCCCCGTAATATATATATATATTATAAAAACAATACTATTAGAACCGACTTATTAAGGCTACTCTTAATATATTCTTTTTGTATTTATTATATTAATAACAAGGTATAAGAGATTTACAAGGTATGTACGTAGGTAGGCCTTGAAAAGAGCTTGAAATAACTAATAAAGAGAAGGAAGTTTTGTACTAGTATAGCTAGTACAAAGCTAATAGCTAAATATAAAATATAGTTCCCCTGGGCAGAGCCAAAGTCCAGGGGAGATAGAGAGACGCTTATACTTAGTATTTTTAAGGAAATTTAAAAAAAAAAAAAAAAAAAAAAAAAAAAAAAAAAAAAAAAAACTCAAAGGCAAAAATTTGAATTTTTTTTTCCTTTTTTCTTTTTCTCCGAATTTTCGATTTTTAACCCTAACCCTAACCCTCCTTCCCGACTCTCAGGGTTCAAGATCCTAGTCTAGGACTTGGTCATTTCTGGGACTTGGTCATTTCTAGGACTTGGCCATTTCTGGGACTTGGTGATTTGCAACGCCCGGGCGCATTTGCTACCAAAATCCTTATTTTCAACTTCTTTTGCATTTTTCTCGACGACTAGGGCGTGTACTACAATGCTACCGGTACTAAAATAACCGCCTTTTCTTTCTCGTCATTTTGACCCCATGTGCATTTTGATGCACGCGACGGTCGAACAGGAATCTTCATTGCAATGGAAAAAGTGGCTTTTTTGAGTTGCTATTTGAACCGTATCCTACTTAGCGCTAAATTTTCCCATTTGGGACTACCAAGCACGTACTAAAATAGGTAATTTTTTACATTCTAGCCTATTATAGATAGATACGCTGTACCTTCTTCGCTTGCAGCGTTGGAGTGAGCCTATAGACCATAACCTTTGGTATAGATCTTCCATATTACCTTTTGGGCCTACGACAACGGCCGGGCAAGCTCTAAAAGTATGGGCGTCTCAATGAAATATAGTGGGCATTGAAGATACTAGAAATGCTAAGAATGTTAAGGCTAGAAATATAGCCCGTGCGGCGCCCCGAACGATGTACCTAATAGTACGTAGTATATCTGGCGCTAAGATGACTATCAATAGCTGACTAGTTAGTATACCTAATTAGAAGGTATGTTTGGTTTATATAGGTGCCAGCTAGGTAAACACCCTTAGGCGCCAGCCCCGTAACATTACTTCCCACCTCTCCCTTCGAAAAATAGCTAGAAATACTATATATAAAAGAAAGAATCTAAATGTTCTAATAACCCTGGTGCTTTTGAACACTCCTAATTCCTTGCTACGTGGGTTTTTATAAGAGAAAACAATTAAATAAACAATTAATGATAAAATAGAATATATCTCCTTAGGAAAGTCCTATTAATTATTTTAATACCTATTATTTATATATATATACTAGTGCCGGCTATATCCTTAGACTATACGGTAGCTACCGTATTAGGCTGGGCATTTCTAAATCCAACCTTATAACGTCTAATCTTATTTAATTATGAAGACTATTACCCTACTTTAATCTATATGTTATAACTGTTATCCAGTCACCCTATGGTAATATTTAAATATATATATTTTTAATAAGATTCGCTACTATTTAATGCGCAAGTAGGATATGCGTAGCCTTCCTGGGCAATTCTAAAATCCTCTAGTATTAATAGAACCAATATCTTTTTTAATACTAATAGAGCTCTAGAGCCTACCCTTCGGGTCTTACTAAACTAATATCTATACCTTAATATTTATTACTATTATTATTAATTTTGTTATCTTCCTCCGGGCTTCTATTCGATTCTAGAGTAACCCGGATATACTGGACTTAAACTTTCTATTTATTTAGATAAGTATTAGCCCAATAGGAAAGTAAGTTATAAGTTGTATAAGTACCCTTCTTCTTTTACTTCTTTTATTGAGTATACAACGGACTGTAAGAACTCTTTATAGTTTGAATAGTAATAATATTTATTAGTTTCCTCCTATTAATATAAACAGCAGCGGTATTAGAGCTTGAACTCCCTAAATACCCCGTACTACTCCTTCTAAGAAAATTATTACTATTAAAGTATTTTAAAAAGGCGTATAATTCTGAATAGGAATTTAGAGCTTCCGGCTGTTTATAGAAGCGTTCGAGCTACTTATTATTTAAAGAAGGTATTAATGAATTAATAATAGTCTAATTTAGCTACGTATTAACTTTAGTTCAGTAAAGGACTTTTTTAAAGTGGATAAGGAAGTAGGATATAGATTCTTAAAATTTCTATTATAAAGTAAAGAATTTAAAGCCGGCTTTTTTATTTTAATTGACTTTACTATAATTAACCTGGAGCTTTTCGAGAAATCGGGCCCGGGTTTAATTTATTAGAAATTATACAAAATAAAAGAGAGTTCGGCGGAAGGTGAGTAGAAAGCTAGAGTAGAGGTAGTAGAATTAGGCCTCTAAATTACTAATAGCTGGGCTATTAACGTACAATTTTACTTTAATTATATAGATTTATATATTAAGATCCTTCTTATCCTCTATAAACTTGTTAAGGTAAGGTAGAATAAGCTTTGCGTTAGAGCTCCCGGTAGTTTGGAGACGACTAATTTCGCTAATAAGGGTTTGGATAGCTACGGCGAATTACTATTAGCGCTCGGAAGTATTTTAAGCCTAAGGAATTGAAGCTATAGTATAGTAAGGTAAAAAAAGGGTTGGCGGCTAAAGAACTCTTTAAGTAATTAGAAGAAACTAAGGAATTGGAGAGGGATTAAGAAGAGGGTCGGTTATAATATAAGAGATTTATGAAGTATATATATAGGTAAGCTTTAAAAAGAGTATGAAATAACTGATAAAGAGGAGGAGGTTTTATATTAATATAGTTAGTATAGAGCCGATATTTAAATATATAAAATATAGTAGGTATTGAAGGTACTAGAAATGCTAAGAATGCTAAGGCTAGAAATATGGCCCGTGCGGCGCCCCAAGAGATGTACCCAATGGCATGCGGTGCATCCGGCGTTAAGACAGCTATCGACAGCTGACTGGCCAGTGCACCCAACCAGAAGGCATGTCTGGCTTACACGGGTGCCAGCTAGGCAAACACCCTTGGGCGCCAGCCCCGTAATATAAGGTTAGAAATAAAAGAAATTTAAAAGGAGAATAATAAAATACTACCCCCTCAAGGTTGAATTACCTTAACGAGTAGTCCATACACTACAAAAATGGTACCATTGGAACCGTCTTATTGAGGCCATCCTCCATATATATTTTTTGTAACTATATGAATTCTAATTAAGTTGACAATAAGGAGTATCCAAAACTTTTAAAGCAACTACAGCTAATGGAGGTTTATTTTTAAAGTTGCATTACTTTAACGGGTGGTCCGAGCGTTATAAAAACTATATATTTAGAAAGAACTTTAAAAAACTAGTCCTTAAATACCCAATTCTATTCTTAATAATCTTTATTAACTTTATTATAAGGAATTATATAAAAATAGAATTTCCAATTTATATAGAGTTTACTACAGCCAACAGCATTTTTGTGCAAAATTGTAATAGACTTCCTCTTATAAAGTTCGAAGAGGGGAGACTTACATTTCTATGGGGCGGGTCCGCTGAAGGTTTTCGACGGGGGTCAATGTGATAGAGACTATATACTATAAGACCCCTCTTGCGCGCACGACGACGTCTATCTAATTAGCCTAGAGGTACCTACCTTGCTACCTACCTACGCCCAGTGGCCCAGGAGCACTGTTTCCGGAAACGGAAAGCAGTTTTGGCTACGTCGACACGGCAAACGAGATTTTCCTCCACCGCGCCGGAAAATCATGACAGGTACCAGTCTTTCTCCAGGCTACTGCTTGATATCCAATTTGCCACAGCCACAGGTTCTAGTATAGACCTACCTTTATGCTGCTCCTTATCCCTCTCCGCCAGCCTCCATTTCCGAAGGTGAACGTCTTTTACCGGCATTGACCCAGACACAGCATCATCATCTACGCCCGCTATGGCGCCTAAGAAGGGTAAACGGCCACATGCGGGACCCAAAACTGCCCGTATGCGAGCTACAGCAGCACAGAAAACCATACGGAGCGCTGCAACCGCAGAAAGTTTGAACACCGGGATAGCCGCGAGCAACCATGGTAGAATTCCCTTCTTCCACTTTCATGCAGTCGCCCATCTGACACCGACCTTAGGGTTCACCATGCGAGATGAGGCTAGAAACACGACATCCCATCAACTACTTTTGGGTACGAGTCTCAGGACGAAGCCTGTCCAGTTTGTGAGTGCCGGCTACATCGAGCCGCTCAAGCAGCCTGAGTTGTTACCTCCTGCATCCCCAACATTGGTTGGGGTGGATACCGCAGAGGAGATTCAGCTTCAGCTCAATGAGATTCAGGAAGCTACGGTTGAAGCCGTTGGAGAAAACTCAAAGCCGCTGGGCATCGATGTACAACAGTCCGAGCCCAGCCGCAACGATAGCACTCACGACGAAACCGACCCGGTCGCGAAGACAGACGAGAATGTTGAAGCTACCGAGCAGCTCTTCTTTTTCGACGTAGCTCGGGACGAAACTGTGGTTGGCACAGATCAACCGCCCGTGCCGATTCCAAATCGCCAGCCGCTTGCTGATCATTCCGACTCGAGTGAGGAGATTATTCTCTTCCGAGGCAGAACCACGCATGTCCAACCCACAGTCCAGCCGGTATGCGAGCCAAGAAACCATGCTACCAACATGACTCGTCAACCCATGGTTGGCAGTACCGGAACTGCTGCAGCCTCCACGAGTACGAAGGTGATCATTGCAGCCAGGCCTACTTCTGCGCAAGGTGGCAGGCCCACGTCCGCATTTAAACGAAAGAGCCCCAAGCGGGACTCGAAGCGAGATTCGAAGCGGGAACAGAAATACATGGAGGATGATGACGAGGATGAAATCCTGGCTGACTATATCGCCAATCTTGCGGACGACTCCGATGGAGATGACATACTCACCAGCCACCTCAGGACTTTCGCCAACCGCAGGGACCTAGGTGGAAATGGGAACTCTGTCAACTTTGGGGACGAATCGGATGACATGGATGCCATGTCTGAGACAGGCGGTAGCAACGCCAGCGACGATAGTGGTGAAAACGAGCAACTGGATATTGATGAAGAAGACATCGACGACGAGACACTTGCTCGTCTCTTCGCTAAACAAGAGGAACTGGGCATGGGAAGCAACGAACTGGTCTTGTTCTCAGAGGAGGCGGCTTTCAACGTCCAAAAGGCCAAGAATAAAAAGCGTGCAGGCCGAACCGAAGGGTTTCCCAGTGCCACCGCAGTGGCGGATGCATTTGACGGTCTCGAGTTGACTGATGGATGGGTCAACCCCGGGTTTATCCCACCAGGACGGAATCGGCGCAATAAACAACCTCCCAACTTCAATGTGTCAGACTCTGAGATTGAACTAGTTTTGAAGACTGCATGGCAGAAAGATAGAGAGAGGAAAAAGCAGCGCAAGCTCGAGCGGGAGGAATTGCGTGCCCAAGGCCTTTTGGGTAAACGTGCCAACCCAGACGACTTGCGCGTCAAGTATCTCACTGGGATGACACTTGACGACATCAAAACTGAGCTTGTGGCATTTCTCCTCACCACAGAAGAGAGGTATGCAGTTCGGAACGGTTCATCTATCATCTTCATTCCGTCCTCCCTTCTAAGCCTCGCGTGCAATTCAACTAACATGACTCCTGCTTTTCCAGTCTCCAGTTTCCCCCAATGGATAAACAGGCTCGCAAGGTTCTTCACGAATTGGCCAACAAGCTCAAAATCAAATCTCAGTCAACGGGAAAGGGAGACCAGCGCCGTCCGATTCTATACCGCACGAAAGCCACCTTGAGATACAAAGGACACCGAAGTGAAGAAGTGGTCACTCATGTTGACCAGGCAGCGGTACGAATTAACCGGAAGTACTTCCACCGACTTGATGCGAAGGGCAAACCCTCGTACAAAACCCCGTCTGGTGGCGGCGGTGGACGTTCCGGTCACCAAGCCGTCACAGTACGTGAAGGTGAAATTGTGGGAGCCTCAGCCCCGGAATTAGGCCAGGAGAATAAGGGCCGCGCCATGCTGGAAAAGATGGGATGGAGTAAGGGGATGGGTCTCGGTAGCTTGGATAACAAGGGAATTCTGGAACCTGTGAAGCAGGTTGTCAAGCGATCCAAGGCAGGTCTTGGATAAGATGCTGGGTACCAACTTGTGAGCAGGAATGCCTGGGCTGAACGACCTCGAGGTGTACCGCGGCAAAGATGTGTAAGTATCAATATTCGACGGGATCCAGATCCTCCACTGTGCATACATATCACCTGGCATGGTCTACGCTTGTACACAGGAAGTGCGAAAATGTGAAAAGAGGGAACCAAAAATGCCAAAGAACAGGAAATCAAAGGGGGGTTCTTTTCTGGTGCAAGCAGTGACTGGTTATAACTAGCTCTCCCATCACGACGTCGAGATGCATATGCCGGAAACAGACTGTCGACGTTAGGTCTTTACCTCCTGCATCACACCTCTCTCCTGCGTAGCCCATTACATAACATAGATCATAAACGCTCGGTTCGGTGCTCCAACCGCCCCCCCCTCTCTTTTTGCCTCAACGATCACCATAGGCAACAGTGGCTCGTCCACGAGAAACGACTATTCCTTCGCTAAATCGGCCCAGCTCCGAACCCTCTCTTTGTGAGGCCAAACCATGGGCTTGACTAGTTCTGACGAACGTACTCACTAACCATGCCCAGTGACATCGGGCCAAACTCCATTTCAGAGTTTCAAAGCCGCGATGGTGCCCTTGGGGTCATGGCAGTTATGGTTGGTTTCGTCGGTCAAAACAGAGCCATGCATTTGAGGGCCCTTGCTGGATGTTCATTTTTTGTTGCCCCGTGTCGTTGAAGCGAAGGCGCCGTCACTGATCAAACTGAACACGCTATGTTCTTTGATCATGTGCACGATTTCATTTCGTCCGAAACCCTGATGTCAAGGTATGTTATTGTACAATCGCAAGAACCCCATAAGCCGTGAGAAGACATTGCCCCCAAAGATAATAAAAAAAAGCAGACCATCCGTAACGCATTGCAATTAGAAGAGACGCCAAGCGGATTGTGTTGGAACCTCTGGCCAAAAGTCTCCTCGTAAGTGACACCCAAATGCCAACAAATCCTAATGCCCTAGACAGAAAATGAGAGGAAAGACACGAAACACCCCATCACAGAACACTTATTTCGTGCTGGAAGAGTACTTGGTAACGGCCTTAGTGCCTTCCGATACAGCGTGCTTGGCAAGCTCGCCGGGGAGGATGAGGCGAACACTAGGTGTTATGTTAGAAGATGCGCAGCCCCCCCCTTTTTTTTTTTTAGATAAGAACGGAAGACATACGAGGTCTGGATCTCACGAGAGGAGATGGTGGACTTCTTGTTGTAGGCAGCAAGCTTGGAAGCCTCGGTGGCAACGCGCTCGAAGATATCTGGTCATGTCAGAGACCTGTACTGGATCGTTGATACGTGGAGGTTTGATCTTACCGTTGACAAACGAGTTCAGGATAGACATGGCGCGGTTAGAAATACCGGTATCAGGGTGGACCTGCTTGAGGACTAAATTTGAGTGTTAGCTAAGAACGCTGCAAACTCTGAAGGGCCCATTTTCCCAAGAGCAAGAGGGCCTTGACACGTCACAAATTGCATTTCGCAATGCGATCCCATCCTTCGCGCTGGATAACAAGGGGAGAAGTGTATATGGCAACTCACCCTTGTAGATGTAGGAGGAGTAGGTCTCCTTGCGGGCCTTGGTGCGCTTCTTCTTGTCGCCAGAGGCGGCAGTCTTCTTTCCGGCATCCTTCTTCTCGGGGGCCTTGGAGGCAGTAGCGGGGGCCTTGGAGGCAGGCTTCTTGTCGGCGGGCTTGGGAGGCATTTTGGTGATTTCGATAGTTCGAGAATTAAAATTCAACAGATGGATATGCGTAAGCGGGCGTTTTTGCTTCGGTCGTGAATGGTCGCGGACAAAAGTCGAGAGAAGTGGTTGTTGGAAGGAGAAAATTGAGGTTGGCGAGGGGGGATGTGCCTTTTTGTAGCTGGACGCGCCGGGCGCTGGCACGGACTGATTGACTGATTGATCTGGGCGGTGCGCGAAAAGTGGAGTAAGATACCTACCTGATTTGGTAGAAAAAAAAAGTCCCCAACCTACACTAGCCTAGGTACCTATGTACAAAGCCAGGTGCACAACCACTGAAGCACTTGGTGCTTGGCATTTCCAGGCCCATGCCACGTTGGCTCGTGCGCTACGACAGCCCACCTGGAAGGGGCCATCATAGGGAATTTGAGAATCGATACAGGAACTCGCAACGGTACATGCATGCATGTCGCTGTCCAAAAACCCGCAAGGTCCCCCGGGCTCTGCCGCCGCGTTTTGGAGTCCGTGGCCCTACACTACCAAAGAACCCGGCTTGAACCGCGACCCCCGACCCACTGGCCCGCTCCTTTCAACAACAACAAGCTCCAGGAAACGGATGGGAGTCGCTGCTCAATTTTCCTGTGGTGGGTAATGATCTATGAGCAGTTTAGAATCTGCACATAGTAAGGACACGAACAGGCTTATTCCTCATGTTATCGGGAAACACTGGCTGGGCGCGCGATCCCAATCTGTCCGTGATTATCACGTTCCGCTGGCTGTTGATGACGACGGGACTGCCCTGGTCGGGTGTCTCTTGTGGGGGGGAACAGGAGTGAGGAGACACCACTTTAAGAATCCTGTCCGGTCCCGGGCAGAGTACCCATATCGGTACCCATGGAGCTGGCGTACGTAATCAGAGGCTATAGGGCAGAATGCACGCCAAAATCTCTAGCAACACCATCCCCATTCAATTTCTCAATACTACGCCACGGGCGTACGACATGATTGGTTCCAGTAATCCCAACTCCATATTGTCCAAGGTCCGCGACAGGGCGAGAAGGCAGACTGAACCCCAGTGGCACATAAATGCGGAGGAAGCTGGATTCGAACATCCGGGGAAAGTGCCGATTCTTCGGGTAGGGCTTAGATGGGGACACAGGATCCGCCTGATCGCTGATGGGATCTGGGTGTGCATTGCCAAGTGCATGTCACTCACCACTGGTGAGCAAGGTTTGGGGTTTTAATGATATGTCACGAAGGTTTTGAAGCACATTGCACACGTGGGAAAGACTACACAGCTCGAAACCACAGGTTTGTAAAGATGGGTAAGAGCGAACTTGATCCACATATTTGCAAACTGGAATGTCTCATGAGCGAAAGAACACGATGAGGATCCTGGTAGATGAGCTGCATTCCGTTATCAATCACACTTACTTGCCTCCCCAAGTAGACAACAGAAATGCGGCAGATTTGGCATGGCCCAAGGTTCACTACAGATTTCGAATCTGAGCCTCAGATTTTTTTCCCCTTCAGAAATGAGGCGACTTCCGAGTCGGATCGTGGTCTGCGATGTCCGTAAAAGAAGGGAAGGGCGGGTTCCGCTCGATACATCAACCAGTCAACCAGTGCGGTCATTGCACGAGAGTCAGCGTCGCTGGCTGCACTATCAGATGAAATTTCGACGAAGAAGAGCAAAGCCGCTACCAGGTGTCCAAGATCAGCCAATTGACAGGTATAGTCAGTAATAGTGAGAACCTTCCAGGATCGTAATTGGTGTTAAAGGTGTAGCAGAGGACCTGACTCGTTTGTTGCTGGCAGATCGCGATAGGGAAAATTTGTGTTTCCGCCCCCCATAGAATATACCAAAACCAAGACACAAATGGCCACGAATAGCATATAGACTTGCGATGCCAATCAGCCAACATGTCTTGTTGGCCCTTCTATGCGCCTCGGTGAGGGTAAGGAAAGGACCGCGGTGGAGGAGAGAAAAAAAAATTGCAAGATGAAACTCGAATAAAATAAATGATTGATAAAAAGGGCCTCAGCGAAAACAGCTGGTACTGGGCATAGAAATATTGCAATTGGCTGATTTGGATTTGACAATTTGGTGGCCACGGCAATTCGTCAGTCGCATGTTTGGTGAGTGTTAAGATGGTTGGCGAATGTCGCGTGCAAGGGCATAGAAAGGGAAACTGACGAAAGCCCTGACTTGTTGGGCGGGCTTCCCTTAATATTTGTAAAATCAGGGTAGCTGCGGTAGTGCTGTAATTTGGAGCTTTTGATTGTCGTCAGCAAGACCCCACTTTGGTGTCTGACCAATGGACGGTCCAAGCCAATTTTTGCTTACTACCCACAATCGCGTCGTGCAGCCCCATTTTGGGATTAGCCCCAACGCCTCGATCAACAACCTCTGGAAAGCGTGGCTGATCCGTGTTTGCAGCGCCCTGACGCGAAAACTACTTAATATGCACATCCCCCGCCAGCCCTCCTTCTCTTCCACCTCAACTACACTTCCCAACAACCAACTTCTGCTTTCTACGTCAACCGAAACGACGCGACTTCCGAGTCTTACCGCTCCAACGAACACCCATTTTTTCAACCACACCCAATCAAACTATCAAAATGACTGGAGGCGGCAAGTCCGGCGGCAAGGCTAGCGGTTCCAAGAACGCGCAATCGTGAGTCAGCCCCTGTTTGCGCGTCGCTTCCTGCATCGCCAACCTTTGGAGCTGCGTTTTGAGCTCCGAGACGGAGCCAGCGCCGTTGTGCCGTTCATCACGCTAACCTGTGTTCCACACAGCCGTTCTTCCAAGGCTGGTCTCGCTTTCCCCGTCGGTCGTGTCCATCGTCTCCTCCGCAAGGGCAACTACGCCCAGCGTGTTGGTGCCGGCGCTCCCGTCTACCTCGCTGCTGTTCTCGAGTACCTCGCTGCCGAAATTCTTGAGCTTGCCGGCAACGCTGCTCGCGACAACAAGAAGACTCGTATCATTCCCCGTCACCTTCAGCTCGCCATCCGCAACGATGAGGAGTTGAACAAGCTTCTTGGCCACGTCACCATCGCCCAGGGTGGTGTTCTCCCCAACATTCACCAAAGTACGTGCATATGGTTACTCGTTTCATTGTCTACATGTGTTCTAACATTGTTTTCCCCATTGCAGATCTCCTTCCTAAGAAGACCGGCAAGACTGGCAAGAACGCGAGTCAAGAACTTTAAAGTCGGAGCTTAGTTTAATTTCTGTTTTCTCTTCCCTTTTTTCTGGTTGGCACGTTGGGTTCATGAAATTGGGGTTCACGGTCTAGGGTCAACGGTTGCTTTTCATGTTTGGGCTGTACATTATCCCCGTCAACGGTGATGGGTCATGAATGCGAATATCTTTTGAGCATCAATCAAAAGTGCCGTTAATATCTCCATGGTTTCAATCTCCCTTTCGTTCACTCATTGTGATGAATATGCTCAATAGCTGTCGCTACGCCATGCTGAATCGGCTGTAAGTGATAGGCTGTAGTCTGCGCTCATGCTCAACAGCTACCCCGCCATTTTGTCTGCCTGGTTCAGATCCCCGCTTCAGAAAGTCATGTACGGGGCATGTTAGACCCATGAATTCTTTGATGAAAACCAGCTTGAACGTGTCTATTCGTGATCATGTGTGTAAAGTAACGATAGACGGTTGGCAACATGCGGTCCGATTTCTCAGAACTTGAGCGGCGGAGGAGCTGTGATCGAGGCCAGAGATATTAGCGGCTGGCAGCGTGATGGATCAGATGGATTACATGGACGCAAACTTACGGTCCAGAACGTGAGCAGGCAGGTTCCTCTCGTATTTTGAACCTAATTGACATTAGCAAGACTTCAACCTTTGCTCGATCGCAAGTGAAAGACTGCTTGCCTCCGGGAGAAAGTGGAGGAACAAAGGGGTCGGGATGTTTCCAATGCTCCAGGAGCTTCTCCGTCTCTCTCAAGAGCACCTAAGGCGATTGGTCAGCTAGGGCAGACTATTATATCCTGTGAACAGCGCTGCGCACCCGTAGTTGCCTAGGATCGTGGACGTCGCGGTTCTTTTCGAACAGGGAGCGAATGTAGAGGGCCTGGCCGCGCCATAGTTGGCGATTGACAGCCCAGTCGAGCGAGAGCTTCAGTGAGCGTCGGTAAAGGGACCTGTCAACAGAAGGTATAAGATCCTTGTTCTTGTCGCCATGATGGAGGACATGGATATACTGACAAGACAGCCGGTCGCGTCGACATGGTGGATTAAACTGACTCGTTCACCGTGGGTCCCGCTCGTGGAGCTCGACGAAACGAACGTTGTAGGCGTATATCCTTTTTCGTCCAACAGCTTAGCACGTACCTCTTTGGCTGCGGTAGAGACAAGTGATAATCGGCTGTCGTGCGATTTTGGGCTGAGGCGGTGAATGGTAGGATAAGATAGAAATGATGAGGGAATCCGCAATTGCGCAATTGGGAAGAGGTACGTTGATACCGGGGGCTCTGCACAGGCGATTTGGATGGGCTTGCAGGACGCGCTTCCGTATTGGAGAGTGGCTGCCTAAGGCACAAATCATCACTTCAGCACCTGGCCATATATTGGGTTCACATTTCGTCTACTTGTGTACGCAGTTCACTACACTAGGTACATACCAAGAAGGGAAGTGATCTTTGCTTTGCCAAGTCTTACAAGCCTTGCGTCTTGCTTAGCTACCCAAAACTAGTCAAATCCGTGCTTTGGAGACTGCCATTCGAGGCATATGCAGCTACTACCTATCTTTGTAGATTACAAGGACGTCCTTAATTACTCGCTATCATATTCATATAGTAGGCAAGAGTAACTTAAACCTGATCGATTGAGATCGCTTAGGCAAATCGCTAGTTGTCTCTGAGAACGTAATGAATACCAATGCGGTCTCTGAGCCTCGAGACCTGGGTAATCCGACACCCATGGCATATTTAAGATCCGTTACTCCGACGGTGTAAACGGTGACTCGGACGGATGGGCGAACCAGAGGTCCAAGCGTCTACGACATGCTAGCCTGGAGCTAGCGCACATACTCTCTCTACTACACTGTGGACACTATCTGCTGGGGAGGGGGTCCAGGGTACTCTGAGTACGGACAATGGGATAGAAAATGGAGGAGCACTTGACCGCTAAGAAAATGGTGGCCAGTATGGAATGATGAAAATTGAACGTCTATACGTAGATTGTTAGGTTTGCTGTCTTTCGGGAACCTTTCACCCTCAAGCGTTATGCTTGACAATAAGCCGGTTGCCTGAGGGGGACAACGACCCGTCTATAGGGTAAAGCCTAAGGAGGCTTGTTAGGAATGATAATTTAAGTGCTATGGAGGTGTTCGGTGCAGGTTGATCCCTGGACTGTGCAGGCTACCGGGTCGCACCCCGGAATGATTCTTGCGATAGCTCCTTGGGTTTCCAGAAGATGTTCCCCGTCCCAGCAAACTGTGAGGCTGACCCCGTGATGCTGTGAAGGACGGCTGGATAGGCTTACCTACTCTAGGTAGGTTGGTAGGGGACTCTACACTAATGTAGTTTCTTCTTACTCAGTTTACCGGTGTAACATACACTACACTACCTAGAAGTAACGGGTACGGTGAGGCTGGTGTGCTGCGCTGCCGTGCGGTGCGGAGAAAGCGCGAAAAAAAAAAAAAAAAAAAAAAAAAAAAAGGAAAAGTCGCGTAGAGCTACTGTACTGTGTGTGTGCAAAACATATGCTGGTGCAAGAACTTGTTGGAAATGCGCGGGAGTCGCTTATTATGCGGGAGTGAATTTGACAGCTTGTACGATGTCTAAAATGCAATTGAGTTAATGTACCCTTCCTTTGGGTCGCAGACGATCTGACCGTTAGTTTTCCGGTTGTCCCGGCAGATTTCTGTGCTGGGTGCTGCGTCATTGTCGCCGAGTCAGAACGGGACCTGTAGCCTCACGACAAATCTCATCACAACCGCCAATTTCGCGTTCTTCATCCGACGCTGTTCCCCCCAACCTTGGTCCTACAAAACCTCTCAAAAGGCACATCTTTGTCTTGCAGTCCCTACCAACTCCTGCTCCTTTGCCCGACATCCCGCTACTATGCTGTATAAAGGTCTTCGTCTTGCGGCTCGCGCCGCTCCCAAACTCGCGCTCTGCAATGCGACGCCCGCACTCCGGCAGCTTCCCCTGCAGTTCCAGCATGTCCGCACCTACGCCGATCAGGTCATCAAAGTCCCCCAAATGGCCGAGTCCATCAGTGAGGGTACCTTGAAGCAGTGGAACAAGAAGGTTGGCGACTATGTCGAGCAGGACGAGGAGATCGCGACCATCGAGACCGACAAGGTGTGTACGACGCTTCCTTAGTCCCGTGCCGGTGTCGGAGCCTAGACCGCTTGGAGCACATGCTGTCTGCCCCCCTGTCCTGCCTCTTGCTACCGTCATAGCTCGCCAGCGGCACATGTATTTGCTTTCTAACTGCTTCTGCCACTGGGTTCTAGATCGATGTTGCCGTCAACGCTCCCGAGGCCGGTACCATTAAGGAGTTCCTCGTCAATGAGGAGGACACTGTCACAGTCGGCCAGGACATCGTCCGGTTAGAGCTTGGTGGTGCGCCCAAAGAGGGCGGTGCCGAAAAGCCGGCCGCGTCCGAGAGTAAGGAGGCTGCTCCCAAGGACAGCGCTCCTGCTCCTGAGAAGGCTCCGGAGCCTAAGAAGGAGACCAAGCCCGCCGCTGCTCCTGCTCCCACGCCCGCCAAGAAGGAAACTCCTGCCCCCAAGCAGGAGTCTACTCCTGCGAAGGAGGCCCCGGCTGCATTGGGCAATCGCGAGGAGCGCAGAGTAAGTAAACGGCTCCTGAGCAGACGGAGTGGTGAATCGGGCAAACTAACACCCTCCAGGTCAAGATGAACCGCATGCGCCTCCGCATCGCCGAGCGTCTCAAGCAGTCCCAGAACACAGCTGCCTCGCTTACCACATTCAACGAAGTCGACATGTCGGCCCTGATGGATTTCCGCAAGCAGTACAAGGACGAGATCCTCAAGAAGACCGGTGTCAAGCTCGGCTTCATGAGTGCCTTTTCCCGCGCGTGTGTCTTGGCCATGCGCGACATCCCGGCCGTAAATGCCTCGATTGAGGGTCCCAATGGCGGTGACACCATTGTCTATCGGGACTATGTTGACATCAGTGTCGCTGTGGCCACCGAGAAGGGTCTTGTCACTCCCGTAGTCCGCAATGTTGAAGCCATGGACCTCGTTGGCATTGAGAAGTCCATCGCTGATATGGGCAAAAAGGTACGGTTTCCTGCGCCTATGGAGTGCTTATATTACCTTACTAACTGTTACTGCAGGCTCGTGATGGTAAGCTCACCATTGAGGACATGGCCGGTGGCACTTTCACCATTAGCAACGGAGGCGTTTTTGGCTCCTTGATGGGTACCCCGATCATCAACCTTCCTCAGAGCGCAGTTTTGGGTCTCCATGCTATCAAGGAGCGACCTGTTGCTGTTAATGGAAAGGTTGAAATTCGCCCCATGATGTACTTGGCTCTCACCTACGACCACAGGCTGCTTGATGGCAGGGAGGCTGTCCAGTTTCTGGTTAAGGTGAAGGAGTACATTGAGGACCCCAGGAAGATGCTTCTTTAGGTTGTTGTAGTGGCAAAAATCAAAGATCATGTGTATTGCACGGGGCTTCTAGTGCTCCCATATCATATGGGTTGAACAATAATAAGAACAACAGAGTATTGAGAGTTAAGTCATTAGGATGTGAGTGTAATGGGTCTGGCGCCTAGGGATATAATGCCCGGCCGCAGAGCCGAGGCATGCTTCCTAAACGTCGCGACCCCAACCCCGGTCACCCCCCACCCTCGGTCATGTAACTTCATCACCAGGCACCAGATAACATTGCAAACTGGCCACTTTTGCAGCGATTTTAATACTTCAAAATATCATAATCTTATTCCTAATACTCCTCAATAATATAGAGGATTAGTTAGAGGACTCTCCCTAACTCTTCTAGTAGTCTCGTTACCATCGTTACCGTTACAACCCTCCTTCGCTTAAGAACTACCTCCCTTAAAGCATTACAAGTTTATAAAATCTCCTTTACCTTTACAAATTTATTATTACCCCCTTCTTTAACCTTCCTCTTAATTCTAGACTTTTAAGAGACTAGTTAGCTCTATATATATTAAATTTAATAGTCTTTTACAGCGAACTCAACGTTCTTAATTTCAAAAGCTTTAACTGACCTTGTAAACACCCTTCTAATATTATATATAAAACTAAATGTCTCATTACTAATACCTTTATAAATATCCCTAAACTTCTAAAGAATTTTAAAAATATAATTAACCTTAAATATTCCATTTCTTAATAGCATTTTGGGTAGTAATAGTCAAAGGGGGAGGGCACCGTTATTAAGGATAGCTTCTAGGTCGTTAATAACTACAAATATATTTATTAATTATATCCCCGTCTTTCTAAATCTTGATTTAAAGTTTCTAAAGTTTACGCCCAATCGTAAAACTTTCTAATAATATTTGAAAAACCGTTGTTTATTTACTAATATGAATACTAGAAAACTAACATAATCCTTTATAAAATCTCTAAAATACAACTTTATTACTAAAAAAATAAAGTCATTAAACGGTTGAATCTTATAAGAAATATAGGGAGGCAAAAAGGATAATTAAACTTAATATTGAAATACTTTAATAATAAAATTAATAAATAAATCACTTAAATATTTATTGAATATAAGAAGGCGCTAACCGTTTATTTAAAATTTAAGAAGGTAAACCTCCTTCAACCGGCGTAGAACAATCCCTAAATTACTCTATCTACTCAATAAACTAGTAAAATTCCAGCTTTTAAGCTCGTTATCTATATTATCAAGGAACTACTAACTTTAAAGGAATATACTAATAAACATAATAATAGAAGTTAATCTCTTACCTTCAATAGTCCTATACTTAATAATAGTTACCCAAATTGTTACGTTAATTATTATTAAATATACCTTCTTTATTAAAACAATTCTAAATACTTTACTCTCCTTTATTTACAACTCTTAAAAACTATATTTATCTATATTCGAAATATTAGCAGGGATAATACTCTTATCGCGAATCTAGGCTTCCAAAAAGTCGCAGAACTTCGTAAAGGCTTCTTAGGTAGACCCTCTAACTCTAATTAACTCGAATAGTTTAAATAGCTTAATCTTAATATTAGAATTATACTTTAAACACCGATCGATCTAACGGGCACCCAACTTATTATTATTACCTCCTCTTTTCAATATCAACGTTACAATCCGTAATACTTAACGATAATTAAGAGCCCAACCAACCTTCTCCTCATTCAACATCCATTTACACAAGAAGGATTATTAGTCGAAGGACAGCTATTATTAAGGTATTTTAACTATACAAAGAGAGGGAGTACCTTGCATACGGTCGGAAATAGTAGATTATAGTACGCTGTACTTCTTAGCTACTACACACTGGGAAAGTCCGTTATAAACCTCAAAAATCGCTGAATCGAATACAGACGAAGCTATTATAACCGGAATTAATCAAATTGATAGTATTTTAATACAGTTATTGTTATTAAAGAGAAAGCCTAGATACACCCACCCCAAACCTTCCCATACCCAGAAACTTACTAAAAAGTGGATCTGTCAGCTGGATGACACCTGATATTGAAAATCCCGTTTTTACCCCCAAAATTTCGTCTTTTCGATGTACGCAATATCAACTCTATAACTTGGTCATTTTTTTCTTTCTTCTCATATATTGCACCCCATTTGACGCCGCCAACCATTTGCATATTGAATACCAACCCAGTACCTATATCTACAACACCAACCCCCAACGTACGCAATTCAGCTCCCCCATTTGTACAACTTCGCTATTGTAATTCAATTATCTTATTAGCTACCTTCATGAATAATACTTTACGGCTCCGCCCCGGGGAGGGGGGGGGGGGCGAGGTAGTTAGAGGATTGAATGATACGGTAATTCATTTAGGAGGGGGGGGAGTGATCCAGATGTTATGACACATCCGAAATGGCCAAGAATACCGCTAAAACGCGGTAATTTACATGACAGCTGACATTTGCAGAAAATGGGTATGGGAAGGTTTGGGGTAGGTATATTTAGGCTTTCTCTTATTGAAAGATTGAGAGTGTAGAAGTGTATAGGAGAAATAGCGGTGTGGGGATGTGACTAAGGGTAGTGTTATAGCCCGCACTATAACTGCCTAGAAGCTGCACGGGGTATAGTCACGTGGTTGCGCACCGCCTTCACGGTACGCTGTATCTAATTAGATAAGGCTATACGTACGTACCTATTTAATCCCGTGCAGCCCTCCGACCTTTGTACTCTTCCCTCTTCCTTTCTTTAGTTTTGATTTTATATTTAATTTACACTACGATCTTCCTTAAACCAACTTTCTTTTATAATTGTAAATACCCTTACATAAAACTAAAACTATTGATATTATTTGACCGGGGATAATATTACAATATCCTGACCTATTTGAAACCTAAAATTGCTAATAAATATTAAGAATCCGATAGCCTCTTAACCGCAATCGAGACAGCGAGAATCCGAATTACAACCTAATATCGTAGTGCGTAACCAATATAAGAAAATTCTAATTAGGGACCTGTACCTATTATAATCCTACTCTATAAATAAAATAACAACTAATCTAAGTAGCTAACCTAATAGCAGCCTTATAACCGAAAGCTATCCCTTTACAAAAATAATATTAATAAAGTCAATTCTAAAACCAATAATATCCTTACTATTAATTACTCCTTACTCCTCCTAGGAGGAACTAATTTCGAAACTAATAACTAAACCCCGCCTAGTTATAATTAAAATGAAAATTGCTAATTACCGGCCGGTAGTGATAGAAAAAATACTACCCGTATAATTTAATAGAATACCCCAAATCGTTTCCCTCCCTCTAGACGTGATAAAACTAAGAAAAAGGTAGAATGAATTCCCCTTTATTATACTTAAATTATATATTATAAGAAATATACTTTTATTGAAATACTATTAAATTTAGTAAATATAAGGCTCTTACTAATATTTTCATTATTAAATATCTCTCTATCAATACTTGTAATCTAAATTGATACGTTTTAGGAGCGAAGAAATCTATGCTGCCCGGAGCTAGCAAAGAGGATTTATCCAATTATACCCTTATCTAAATATAGAATTTCTATTCTTTTAATATAGGACTAGTAGTAACAACCTGTTAGTTCGCCCTCACTTTCAACGAACTGATAGGAAATATTATTAAATATACTAACTATATAACCGATACTCTAAAAACTCAAACTGACTTTAATCATATTCAATTCCAACCTATTACTAAAAACACCTAATCTTCTCTAATCCTCTATAATTGGAAGGGAAAAATAATATTAATTCAATTTATCAACTCTTTCAATCTCAACCCCACTTACATATAGAACGAGATTCGTTCCTGCTTTATATTACTATATGTATTTTATAACATTATTAACGACCTTAGTAAAATATCCAACTATATCAATAGAATATTTAAAAAAAATACACGACTTTATTACCTACTTTATCCAAAAGACGAAGGAGTGGGAGGCTATTATCGTACATCTTAAGAGCGAACAAAACATTTTAATTAAAACCAACCATAGTATAAACCTAAATAAATAATTAGCCAATACTAAAGAAGATTACTATTAAACCGAAGAGGCCTTATAAAAAGAGTAAAATAAAGTTAAGTATTATAAAACCTCTTATAATTATTCTCTAGAATAAATAGTAACTAATTATGATAAATATATTAAAAAATCAACTTAAACCTATTAAAAAACTCTGAGTATTATATATTCAATTTATAGCAAGAAGATAGCGCGGCTAAAGGGGAAAAGTAATACTCTTGTAATCGAACTAAACACCATACAATATAAAGCCCGCATCGACCCTTTTATAATAAATACCACAGTTTATAATATTAAAATAAAGTAATTCTATTATTAATTAATAGAGGCTCTTGAAGCCTAATAAAATACGGAAAATGAAGTTTATAATTTGGAAAAGTATAATCGCTACTTGAAAAAGCTTTTATTAATGGAAAACTGTTCCCCTACTACGGCTCCGCTAATTATAGTAAAGGATACTATCGAAAATAACCCTTTTCTATAGGAAAATAGCGGAGTCTATAAGGAATATTATATTTGTATCTCCCCTGAAGTTAATATTAATTAAGTATTTAATAATATTCTTATATCCTCCAAATTTACTAAGGACGACCGCTGTTAGATTAATAAGATAATAGGAGGATATAATAGGAGAATTAACGGAATACTTCACCGAGTAACTAGAATAAGCAATTCCGACTCCTCCAATAACGAATTTAATTATTCACACAACTCTAATCGCTCTAATTCCAAACGACGAAATAATAGTAGTAAGTATTGTAAATACTTACCCTCCAATACCCTTTCGAATTATTTATTATATTCCGGTTCACATCAATCTTCCTTCTTATTTAGAACTTATAGCTATAAAAAGAAGTCTTCTAAGGTCCCGGAGGTTCTCTTACTCTATGGTAAGAAGAGTAAACATAAAGTGTTTTTCGAAATATAGTTGTACTAGATCTATAATATACTGTGTATTAATACTAATTATTATACTAATAAGGATACTATATTTGGTATTATTATTAATAAGCTAGCTAGTAAAGCCATTAAAAAT